GGGACCACCCGCTTCATCTCGCCTCCTAGTCTCGCCTCTCTCGCCTCATCTCGCCGGCCTCGCTTCATCTCGCCTCACCTCGCCTCATCTCGCCTCACACCTCTCCTCATCTCGCCTCACCCGCTCGCCTCATCTCGCCTCACCTCGCCTGATCTCGCCTCATCTCGCCACTCGCCTCATCTCGCCTCATCTCGCCTCACCTCGCCTCATCTCGCCTCATCTCGCCAGATCGCCCCTCACCTCGCCTCACCTCGCCTCATCTCGCCTCATCTCGCCCCACATTTTTTTCTTATTCTTTTCTAGACCACTCCGAGACCGACCCAAGACCGACCCGATACCCGAGATCGACCCGAGATCGACCCGAGATCGACCCGAGATCGACTCGAGATCGACCCGAGATCGACCCGAGATCGACCCGAGATCGGCACGAGCGATCAACCCAACAATGCCCCAGAGCCCCCTCCGGGGGGACCCCCCCTCACCCCGAGTGTCCGTGTCCTTCGCGAGTCACCGATGGGGAGCGGGGGGGGGTGCGAGATGCACAGGGGAGGCTGGGGAGGGGGGGGTCCACTCTGAAGACTGCCGACCGCGGGGGGGTTTTGTCCCACAGGGTTTTACCCTCCGCGTGAGGATCGGCGCGGCGAGGGGGTAGGCGCGGCGTGCGGATGGGAGGAGAGGCCGGCCGTCGTGACTGACGACCCGCCGACGGAGCGGTGAGGGCGTCCGCTGGGCTCGCTCGGCGCCGCGCGGCTCGACGGGCGGCCCGTCCGCCGTGCGGCGGCCGGAAGGCGCGCCGACACGCTCGCCGTCTCGCCGCATGCGCCGGCGAGGGGCGCCTCGGCCGCGCGGGTGCGCTGTCGGTGGCAGCGCGGTGCTCGAAGGCGGTGCCAGCCTCGAGAAAGGTGCGCGAGCCGCGCCTGCGCGCGTGCGGCGGGCCGTGGGGGTCGGTGCGGCTGCGCCGGGGCAGCGAACGGCCTGCTGGAAAGGCCGTGAGAGGCGCTCACCACCGGGCGCTCGACGCCAAAGAAAGCGGCGGCCGCCGAGCCAGATCACGGTCGAGCGCGTCGAACGAACCTGTCCGGAGCGCAGCGGCCGTGACCGTGGCGGTCAGGAGGCATGCACACATACGCGGACCGTCGCGGTACGAGGCAGGCATCGGCGGCGCGACCCTCGACACGCGAAGATGTACCATCGCCCCCCGAGGTCTCTTGGGTTATATGATGTGCGCAACGGCGGTTCTGGTACCACTGTGCAGCGTCGTGCCCGGATCCCGGCCGCCCTGCGCTGGCTGGGCCTCACAGTAGCATGCAGCATCGACGGCGCCACGCCGGACCGATCGCCCACGGCAGAGCGTGGCGCGCCCACCCTTCCGAGCGGCGACAGACATCCCGCGCACGGCGCTCTAGCGCGAGCACCAGCAGCAGCACTGGGCCGCCGGTTGCGCGCGGAGGAGAAAAAAGATGATCTGAAGATCTGAGACATGGAAAAAAGGGCAAAAAAAGCATGAAAAAAAGTGACGAGCAATGGAGGATGACGCGTGAAAGGTCCGCTCACTGCGGAAGGGGCTCGAGCATATCGAGCGCGGTCTGCAGCGGCACCGTGGTCACCATCGCGAACGAGTCGATCGCGCCGTAGCCGATGAGCAGCTCGTGGCCCGAGCCGTCGGCGGAGGGTTCGAGCACGATCGAGGACGAATACTGCACAGAGTCGCAGTCATCAAGCGCCTCGCCCGTGAGCAGCGAGAACGCGCGGAAGCAAAACTCCGTCGAGATCCGCGTGAGTGCGTACGGCGGCGAGGCGGACAGCGTGAAGAAGAAGTGCGTGTAGTGGTTGCCGTTGAAGGGGTAGTCGGAGCCGAAGCCGCCCACCGGCCCATGGACGGTGCCTGAGCCGCGCGCGAGGTGCCCCACGCCGAGAAGCTCGTTGCCGAGCGCGGGCACGCGCACGAGCATCCGGCCGCCGTGCAGCATCGACGTCCCATTCGACTTGTCCTCCCCCGCCAGGTCGGCGAAGAGGGCGGCGGCGGCGGCCGAGAGCTGTTCCCCGGCCGTCTCGAAGCAGAGAGTGTCCACGCGAGGGTAGCGCTCGCCGTACGTGCCGGGGCAGAGGCGCGGCGCTGCGCCCAGCAGCGACCAGAAGTTGGACACGTTGGCCCCGTCCTGCGCGCCGGGCGGCAGCGTGGTCACGCGGCCGACCGCCGTTGGGGCGATCCAGTCGAGCGCGAGGAGCTCGTCGCCCTCGACGAAGAAGGAGGGGTTCTTGTGGTTGCTGCCCTTCGGCGCGAGAGGCGGGAAGTCGGCCGGGTCGCACCCGGCGTGCGCGCACGAGCCGAGCGAGTGCTCCTCCGCCTCGGCGTGCGTGACGAGCAGCCGCGGCGCGCACCCCGCCGGTGCGAAGAGCTCCACTCTGAGCGGGACAACGAGGGCGCGCTCGCTCAGGGGCATCTCGAAGCCCTGCATCTGAGTGGAGTAGTCCTGCGCGCTCGCCACGTACCGCCCGCCGTACTCGAAGAGGCCCACGTCCATGAGCGTCGACTGCGCCATCCGAGGGCTGGATGGGTCCAGCGCCTCGAGCGGGGGCACGGCGCCCCCTCCCCCCGCGAGCTCGCGCAGCAGCGGCGTCAGGAGGAGCGGATCCATCTGGCGCGAGAAGAGGCCGACCGTCGTGGTCGGCTCGACGGGGCAGGTCTCGACCGGACCGCCGTGCACGATGTCGTCGTACACGCCGCCGACAGGCTCGCGCGTCCAGAAGGGCAGCGAGTTTAACGCGACCAGGTAGTGAGCGCCGGGCACGGCGCGCAGGGGCGAGTCGGCGGGCAGCACGACGATGGACGGGTTGTAGCCGTAGAAGTGGCACTGCAGCGGCACGCTCGCAGCGCGCAGCGGGCTCGCCATGACCGAGGGGGCGCGCGTCCAGTCGACGAGGCGGCTGCTCGACGAGGCGAGTACTTTCGGGCAGGACCCACGAAGAAAGCCAGACGTCGCAGTCGGCACGTGCGCGAACGTGGCCATCGTGACCCGGCAGCCGGAGGTCGCGTTGGGGGTGAGCCGGTACTCGTCGGTGCCACCCGTCGGCAAGTTCCAGTAGATGTTGGTGAGCAGGTGGGGTCTGCGCCTCCCCTGCTCGTGTGCGGTGTCGCGCCAGAGGGGCAGGCCGTAGCCCTTCACGCCAAAGCGGTTGGGGATGATGCCCGAGTCGATGGAATCGAGCGCAACGGCGGCGCGGTCCCACTGCTCGTCCGCGGGGCAGGTGGGCGGGCCGAAGCCAACCACCAAGCCTGCTGACAGCATGCACACACACCTCCTTCCCAAAGCCACTCCCAACAGAGCCGTGCAGCCGATTCGCTGCCGTCCCTTTTTCAGTGTACTCGCTTAGTGTGGGTAAACCATAAAAGTAGGTTTGAATTCGTCCACGTAAGGCTTGGTGAGTGGTTGGGGTGGCCTCAGGCATCCCCAAGGGAGCCGCTGCGGTGCCACATAAGCAGCTTAGTGATTGTCGAGACTTTAAAGTGTTTCGTTGGAAGAAACGCAAACAGGACAGACGCTACTATGGTCACCAGTAAACCATAATTCGACTTTGAGGGATCATATCTCAAAAAGCCGGGAGACAGCATAGCCTTATTATTGCATATTATGCCACATAAGGTCAAACTTGACCCCACAAGCATCAAGAACCCGATGCTCCGGCTCGACTGTGCCGGCACACTGCCTCCTCGCGCCGGCTGCTAGCAGGCCGTCGCGGCCCGTGGTGCACCAGAGAGAGAGGTCGACACGTTGCCCCCGCCGGCGAGTCCGCGCGGCTCAGGCCGGCCAGAAGGTGTGTGGTGACGGCACCGTGGCAGGCGTGCGGAGAAGAGCTCGCCGAACGCGAGCAGCAGATGGCCAAAGTGTACCAGCGCGAGAGCCTCGCGAGCGGGCGCAGAAGAAGCTCGCCGTGACACGATGCCGGGCGGTGGTGATGCTCTGGCGGCTGTGCACAGTGGGCAAAGTCAGGCTGCAGCAGGGCAGCACGATGGTAGTGCCCTGCTGCAGCCTGGCCTGACATGCACAGGGCGAACAGAGACACTACTATCGTCCGGCGCTCGTCACCGAATCTGGGCCAACTTCGACCGCCGCCACAGCTCGCCACGAGCACGCAGCGACAAAATGTTGACTGTATGGAAGTTGAGGCTGGTCGAGAGGAAGAGGCTGCCGTGTGAGCCGGCAGCAGGCCGAGGGGGGGGGGGGGGCGAGGGATTCGCCCTCACACGGGATCGCCGTGTCTCAGTATCTCGGCCGTGTGACGGTGTCAGCCGTGTGACGGAGGGATTCGCCCTCGGCTCTCGGGGGGATCCGCCCTCGAGGGCCATGTTCGCCGCTCGACGGGTGGAGCCGCTGTGCCCACCGGCCGAGGGGGAAAGGGGGGGGGGGGCAAAGGGGGTGGACGGTCACCTGGATCGTTGAACTCGGAACGCTGGCTGGGGCCGCCGACGAGCGGCGCGGGGGGCGACGTCGGCTCCGCGACGCCGTCGGCCCGGGAGCAGCCGCGCGCGGGGATGACCTCGTCGTCGCCGACGAGGAGGCCGCGCAGCGCCTTCTGCACGAGGGAGAGCATTGACGTTGCCGGCATCGGTAGTCGTTCGGTTCGGCCTGGCTGCCCTGCGCGCCGGGGCGCCTGCAGCGTGCGTCGCTGGCGGGCCGGCGGGTAGCGCCGCCTCCGCTCGCTTGAGAACTGGTCGATTGGCGCCTGTCTGAGCAGGAGCCGACGCTAGTCGGGAGCTGTGTCAGGAGCCTCGTGGCGCTCGGAGGTCCCGCGCACAAAGCGGCGGGCAGCGGCGGGCGCGGGGTAAGGGTTCCCGCCCGCTAGGCTGCCCTCTGCGCCGAGGCTCGACCCGCTTCTCCTCAGTTCACTAGCACAAACTGAAGTTTGTTTATCAGAAACTCGAACGCGGCGCGGCTGCCCGCAGGCGTGCCGTCCTCCCATCCCTCCCTTGGGTTCTTGTTTTCTTTCTTTCTTTCTTTCTTTGATTTGCTGTGTGAGTGTTGAGGTGATGCGAACGCGCGTGCGCGCGGCGCGGGTGCCGTTTTGGTTCTCTTTTATACCAGTGATGAAATGTAAACCGACTTTTAATTACCACGCGCGCGCACGCGCATGAGGTGCATGGCTGACACGCGTGCATGCGCGGGCTGGCTGCCGCCTGTGAGCACATACCGGCTGGGTTCCAGGGCGTCAGCCCGTTGTCAGTGGCCAGCGCCACCGGCACAACATCTGGCTCCCCCAACACCGCCGGGCTGCGGCACACCACCTCCGTGCTCGCCGGGCTGATGGATACAAACGAGCCGCCTTCAGCGCTGCCGGCGCGCTCGCAGGGATCGCGGCAATGCTCGCCCTCCAGCGGGCCCTGCTCACTGGCTCACGGGCAGTCACGGTGGCAATGCAGCAGTCGGAGGAGGATCAGGGCGAGATCACGCGCGGGAGGGCCAAGCACGACATGACGCCGAGCCAGCTCGCGCGCCGGCAAGCGGCCGACCCGCTCATCTCCCTCATGCTCGACCTCCTCGACCGCCTCTCGCTCACAGAGGTGTGCGCCATGAGCGATGGCGCGGCTGCGAGAGCTCCGACAATGCCGCTGCCCACGACTAGGCGTGTGCCGTGGCGGAGGACCTGATCGCCGAACACCTCGAGGCCGCACAGCGCGAAGACGCGCTACCCACCGAGCTGAGCACTCTCGCGCCGAGGCAACCGCTGCGTGTGTGTCGGCTCTCTGGCTGTGAGCATGAAGGACATCCCTTCACTACTCCGTCTGTGCAACGAGTAGGCTCGTCTCGAACGAGTTTGGCCGGCTGTGGCAGCCGCTCCACCTCCGCGAGGCGCTGATCGACTACGACAACGAGGCCACCCTGCCGTACTCGCCCCCCCCACCCCTTACTGCTACTGCTGCTGCTGCTGCTGCTACTACTACCATACGTGACCAATCGTACTCGCTGTTGAGTCTGCTCAGTCCTGCTCGATGCCTGAAGGCGCACGTCACTTGCCGCCAGTACGTGCCGGCGACCTTCCGCGAGCTGCGCAACATCTGCAACCTCGCCCAGGTCTATGGGGAGATATGGGGAGATATGGGGAGATGACATCAAGGAGCTGCGCAACATCTGCAGCCTCGCCCAGGTCCGCGGCGCGGCGGGCCCGGGCGCAGCCCTGCAGCTGCTCACCTTCGACGGCGACCAGAGACTCTCTCCGCGTGTCCACGACACGTCCGCGACACGTCCGCGACACGTCCGCGACACGTCCGCTGGATGTGCCACCGTACAGGCGACCAGACCCTCTATCCAGACCGCGCCACGCTGGGCAGCGACGCGCCGCTCGTGCCGCTGCTGCTCGAGCTGCTCACGCGCGGCGTCGCCCTCGCCCTCGTCACGGCGGTTGGGTTCGACGAGGCTGCGCCCTACGAGGCCCGCCTCTGGCCTCTGCGGCGTCCAATGAATTGGCGAATCGTCAGTCACCTCGATTCACCAATCATGAGCAGCTGATAGGCTCGCCTCTCCGGCCTCCTCGCCGCCCTCACCGCGGCGAGCGCACCCGAGGCGATCTGCGCCCGCGTCGTCGCCGTCGTCGGCTAAATATTCGACTAGATTCGACTCCGTTGTGTGACCGCCGCCCGGCTCGCCACGAGCACGCAGCGACAAAATGATGACCATGTCGAAGTTGAGGCTGGTCGAGAGGAAGAGGCTGCCGTGCGAACCGGCAACTGGCTGGCTCGGCGTGGACAGCCGGCGGCGACTTTTCGCCGAAGAGCGTGCCTGCCGAAGAGCGAGTCTGACTCAAAGTGCACGGAGTGGGCGCGCCGACCGTCGGGAGGAGTCCGATGGGTGCCAGGACGATCCAGAGAGCGATGAAGGCGCAAATTGCGTCGCCGAAAGTGGCGGTAGAGGCCAGGCCGTGCGCGTGGGCCGGTCGGGCCACGTCCCGGGGCGAGCGATCGAGGGCCGCGGGGCTCGCCCCGTCGGCCGAGCGGTGCGAACGGCCGGTCGCCCGCTTCGGGTTGGACCCGCCGGGCGGTCCGGCGGCGGAGTGCATGGCCGGGCGGGCCTCCGGGAGGCAGGCGGGGCCGCGACAGGCGGCAGGGCAGAAAATCCCATTCGGAGAGGCGAAGGACAGACCCGGTTGCTACCTCGTGGGGTCAATGATACTCGAGTAGGGACTGTCATTCCTGTTCAGAGGTACGTGCGGACCAACTACGTTGGAGCCATGCGGAGCCTTTTATACCAAAAAGCGGGCAACACGGTGTTTGAGCACTTGAGCACTACGCGCCGCATCCTCCCAGTGCGCCGCATCCTCCCATTCCCGTACATTCGACCCCTCGTGTACATAATGTTGACTTTGCGTGCGTTGGCATCGACGGAGAGGATTGCCCTGAACGGTAAGGCACTGCGAGTCGTCGAGCTGCGTGAGCTTTGACACGATGGAGGCTGGCCCAACATGCGTTCCATCGGGGACGTGCAAGCCAGGATTGACCAGAGCAAGGTGCGAGAGATGTACGCCGGCGCCAATCGTCAGCGGAGGAAACTCCATGTAGCCCTTTCCAAAATTGTGCGCGTAAGCCGACGCTGCCCCGTCAGTGCTGAAGCATTCGCCAATCGTGATCAACGACGTCTCCGGCTGCATGGGGTATAAGCCACCACGAGCAGGAACCTCGGAGTGCCGTCCGACGGTGGCCCCCGCTAGTCGGAAGAGAGTGCGCGGAAAAGACGTGCCGGTCCATAGTCGCGCTATTGGCATTGTTAGAGAGGTGGCCGTTCTCGCGTTGAGTGCCAACGCGCTGGTCCAACGCGAATGCTCCCTCGTGTGCCAGCCGTACGCCTTGCCAGGCTGCGCGAGAGAACCCATTAGCGAGCGAGAGAAGAGGACGGAGCACACGGCGTAGAGTGGCTGGACGAAGAGCGGTTGGATGACGCATGCGGTGCAGATGGTGATGGTAGAAAACATGACGAAGGTACCCATGTCCGCGCCGCGGTCGAGTAGGCCTGTAGCACGGGCTTGTTCGTACCAGATCGCCAGCGGTGCGGCCAAGGTGAAGCTCAAGTGCCAGGCGATTCGGACGGCCATGAGCAGTAGCATGTGCACCTCATACGCCAACACCCCGCCAGCTGGAGCGCGGCTGCGGTCGGGCCGGTATCGTATGAGCTTGCCACGCGTGCCGAGCATGGCGGTGCCCGTCTCGACAGTGGTGTGCGGTGCAACGAGGGTTCTCTCCGAGATGGCGGCGTCGCTCTCAACTGTGACACCCGAGAGCAGGATAGATTCTGGGCCAACAAAGCTGTTCGGGAGGAGGCGGATCGCACCGAAAGTAACGGTGCTGGGTGCGCCCGTTTGGCGCCGGTGATGCACCTGGCGGGTGTTGTACGAGAGAAGAGCACTGGTGTAGCAGCCTTTACCCACCTCAAGCAGATCAAAGTCGGGCAAGGAGGGCGTTGGCGAGAAGATTGCGGTAAAATGGATGCGGGCCCCAAAGAGCACACACCACGCAGTGTCCAGAACCGAGTAGTATTTGAATGGACCGACGGTGCTCTCCGCCAACCAATAGAGGCGTTCCACGTACCATTGACGTAGCATCATCGCCGTCGTGATGGTCACTGTGCCCGGCCTCTGGCACCCAATCAGCGACCACTTGGCGCCGAGCGCGTAGAGCGTGAAGAATGTCGGCAGCACGAGCGCACAGATCGCAAATCCCCATAGCCCGTGCTGCGCAACTACCCAGCGCCCGTGCCGCGCGAAGCCGTACAGCGGTCCGAGCAGAATCAATCTCGCTGCAATGGCCGCAGCAAAAGCAGTCTGGAAGAGGATGCAAAGGAAAAGGCAGACGTGCCCGATGAGGAGGGAAGTGGACTGCCCGCTCTGCGAGCGCAATGTCACCTCCGTGCAGTTGGCACCAAAGTTGCTCGATGGCGGCAGCACGTCGGCATCGGAGACGATCGACCGATCAGGGACGTACCCTTGGGCGACCGAGAAGATGCCAGCTACCGCCTCCTCGCCAAGGCGAGTACCTCCGCAAACGATCGACTGCTGCAAAACGGACGCGCCTGAGCAAATCGAGATGCGCTTGCACTCGAACCGCATCCCGTCGCTGCTCTGCACGACCCTCAGCCTCGCGCCCGCCTCCAGCAGCACGTCGTCTCCGATGTCCACCAGCTCGGCAACAGGCGCGACATCTGGAAGCGTCGTACTGAGCACGACATTGACGCCCACGCGAGCACCAAACAGCCGATGGAGCCAGACGAGCAGTTCCGTGTGCACCAGGAGTGACGCGGGCAGTGGTAGCAGCAGGTGCGCCGCGTCTGAAACAAGCCTCGTGCGTAGCCAAGTCAGGCTCCAACAGTGGTATGAAAGGCCATGCACCAGCCGCACCCCGACTGCCTTCTTGACTATGAGGGCCCAACCGATCATGCAGGAAATGGTGAAGAGGATCGCCCCAAGGAAAACGCAGGACGTGCTGATGACCATCAGAGCTGGGGATAGAGAGTGAGCGATCTCGAACTCTTCCGCTCCGCCGTAGACGATGGCAGGGATGAGCTCGAGCCAATCCACGTTCGATAACAGGCCAGCGAGTTTCGTCAGGGTGTAGCCGCTGAGCATGATGGGGATCAATATGCCACAGGCCGCGTTGAAGGCGCAAGAGAAGACGCGTGCAACAATGAAGAGTAGTTTCTTGGAGGTCCCGTGTTTCGCCGCGAAGGTGTCGCACTCTGCGCACAGCCGAAGGACCTCGACCTTTTCCACGAGCTTCTCGTGCTCCTCCCGAGTGAATGCGCGCCGAGGACTGAGCGGCCCGAATGGATCGACGGAGGATAAGCTGATGTCGGGGCCTTCTCTCTCCGAGCTGCTCGTGCTGTCAGCCGCGCTTCCCCCGCCATCGTCTCCGCTGCGAGTTGTGTTCACGACAGCTGCCAGAGCGTCAAACGAGCTCGCATCAAGAAGAGTGGCCAAGTCAACCTTGGCGCCGAAGCGCCGTGAGATGTCGACGGCAAAGGCGCTGATTGCGAGCGAGTCGAGTCCGAGATCGAACAGGCTCGCTGTCGCCAAGGCGTCGACAGGTAGCACGGTGTCAGTCGCCACAAAGGCTCGTACAGCCTCGAGAAGATCTTCCGACGTCACATCACAGCGCAGGGGCGGAGCTGCCTGCTTGCTATCTGTGTTGGTCAGCCGGCTGAGCACGTCGGCGAACATGCCCCTAACGTGCGGATGCTGTCTCATCAGCTGCATCACACCCCCGGCGTTGATGGCTGCGATCGTGCAGACGGCCGGCCCCCTTTCCGCTGCATCGAGCACCTTACCAAGAGCAGCGAGTGCCTGTGATGGCTCGATCTGCAACCACAACGAGGTGCTCACTCGCTCTCCTGCTGCCATCCCATACCCCGCCCACGGTCCCCACTGCACCGATAGCGCCGGCACGCCGGAGGCACACCGGCGCTGTGCAAGTGTGTCAAGGATGGCGTTGGCAGCGCCGTAATTGGACTGGCCGAGCGTGCCCACGAGGCTTGTGACAGAGGAAAAGAGAACAAAATGGCGCGGTTGCACACCCATCTCTGTGAGCAAGGCGTCAATCAGCCGGGCAGCGTCCGCCTTTGGTGCTGCCACCCGTTGGAGGCGCTCGGCCGTCATCGCACGCAACAGGCCGTCGTCAAGTATCCCAGCAGCATGGAAGACGCCGCCGCCCGTGATGCCGTCTGCATGCGCAGCGAGAAGCGCACGCATCTGCTCCTCGCTTGACGCATCGCACCTCTCGACAACCAAGGTGGCTGCCCCCTCGCTCCGCAATATTGCCGCCTCCAGCGCGTCGTGGAGCCCGCGGTTCGCCTCAGCGACGCGCCCACTCCGCGAACAGAGGACGACATGCTTGATATGACGAGCCTCCACCAGCCAAAGCGCCAGTTGCAGTGCGAGTGCGCCGGTGCCGCCGGTGATGAGGGCCGTTCCGGAGCGCTTTGAAATCGCCCGAGCGGGGTCTGGAGCCGAGAGCGACTCGTCGGCGAAGATCCTTTCGTCGAAGAGGTCTGTGCCGCAGATTGCGAGGTTGCCTGGCGGATGCGACGGTGCGGCGAGCATGTGGCTCAGGTGGCGCATACTCAGTGCCGAGCGGAAGTCGTCGATGTCGATCGCGCGCAGCTCGGTGTGAGACGGCTCAAGACGCGCAGACTTGACGAGGCCCCACGTCGCCGCGTCGCGAAAGAGTGCCGCGTCTGAGGGAAGCGGTAGATGCTCGTTGCCGTCGTGGCTGGCAATGCGTTGCGTAAGGACAGCAAGCTTACGACATGTGGCGCCCCCTTTGGTAGCGAGCGTTTGCAACGTGAGCAGCAGCGACGGGGCGTCGCCACGGAAGACGAGTAGCTCAATCTCATCGCCAACTGCCGTTTGCGAAAGAGAGCGTTGCATTTGGGCAGGGGTGCGGGCGAGCACGTGGCGACGGGCGAGCGTCTGCATCTGCTCGACAAATGCTTGCGGCAAGTCACCAATCAGATCCGCGATGAGGAGCGTCGACATCCTTGGGGGTTTGCCCGAGTTGGGCAAGCTCTGCGCGTTATGCTTAATCCACAACGGTCGAAAGAGAAGAGGCGAAGGCAGTGGATGAAAGGGAGTCTCATGCGAGAGCCGGCAGGCCTCCTTGGCGTCGACAGAGGGATCAGGTAGCCAGAAGTGCGAGCCAACGAGAGGCGTGACGGGGACGCGTGTGAGCCTGCCGGTGGGAAGGAGCGGACCGGCGTCCACGCTGAGGCCAGCGGCGAAGAGAGAGCTGGCCGTTTCGAGTAGGCGCACGGCGTCATCGCACCCCTCTTGTAGGGTATGAACCGCCGTCACCGCTCTGGCAGTGCATGGCTTTGCAATCACGTGTGGGGAGAGGTGCGCCTGCATGCCAAGTTCCACCACGACGGAGCAGCCATGCCCCGACACAGCGCTCTCGAGGGCCGCCTCGAATAGCACAGATTGGCGGGCATGAGCAACCCAGTGCGCCGCCTGCGGCGTCTCCACGAGCACCTTGCAGCTCAGCGTGGAAATGACGCGCGGCCGCGCGTTCGTGTGAGCAGCCGCCGCGTGATCCGGCGACGATGGGGCTTCTGCCTCGCCGATCAGCTCCTCAACGCTGCGCTGGAGCTGGGGGAGGCACGGATCGACGTCCGCGGAGTGGAAGCCGTGTGACACGTCGAGCAGCTTGACACGCACTCCCGCCGCTCTCAGCGCCGCTTCGGCGTGACGAATCTGGCCGGCGTCGCCGCTCAAGACGCAACTACGGTGGCTGTTGACGGCGGCGAGCGCAATGGCGGGGCTTGCGGCCAAGACCTCGCGAAGCTTCGTCGAAGACGGCTCCTTTGGCGAGCCGTTGACAGCGAGCATCGCGCCAGATCCCGAGCGCAGCGCCTGCATGGCGACACCGCGGACGAGCGCTAGCCGAAGCGCCTGCTGCAACGTGAGTAGCCCACCCGCGCAGCACGCCGCAATCTCCCCGAGGGAGTGCCCAATGACGACGTCTGGGACGACACCGCAATCGGAAGTGAGCACGCGGTACAGCGAAAGTGCGAGTGCGACCAGGGCCGGCTGCGCGAATCCGCTTCGGTCCATATCTGCTGTTGGCTCGGGGCCGAACAAAGCGATCGCAAGTGAGGCGCCGCTCCACTCTGGAAACGAGGCCAGCACTTCACTGCATTCGTCAATGGCCGCACGAAACGTCGCCGAGAAGGAGTACAGCTTGCTTGCCATCCCAACGTACTGCGAGCCTTGGCCGGTGAAAGTGAAGACGATGCGAGGCGGCGATGTCGGGAGAGGCGCGGTTGCCTGCGCTCGAACAGCTGCTGTCAGCTTGGCGATAAGCTCCTGCGAGCCAAGATGGTGCGCGTCAGCCGGAGGGCTTACATGGCTGGCACGTGGTGGGTTATAAGCGCGGGGCTGGGCCTGGGCGTGATGGCATGTACCTCAACGCTCGATCCAACCACGGCCAAGCGAAAGGGATGCAACCGCAGCTCGTGCGAGCGGAGGGCGATCAACGACCGACAGATCGCTGCCGCCTCGTCCTCATCCACTTGTGCCGGTGTGGCGAGCTTCTTTGCGAGCGACACAACGCAGGTGCGGAGGTGCTCGTAGCTGTGTGACGATAGCAGCAGCGCCAGCGGGCGTGTGAACGTTGCTGTCGGCGAGACGCACTCGTGGGGCTCGTCAGCAGCGACACTGAGGGTCTTCAGAACGACATGCGCATTGGTGCCTCCGAAGCCCAAGCCGCTCAGTCCGACATAAAACTCACCGTCCGCAGGCAGGACCGCGCCTTCGGTCGCCAACGAGACGCCGATGCGATCAAAGTTGACGAGTCGGTTGGGTTTCGCCACGTTGATCGTCTTAGGTACGACTCGCGTCTTGACGATGAGCGCGGCTTTGATGAGCGACGCGAGGCCGGCGGCGCACTCGAGGTGGCCAATATTTGCCTTCACGCTACCAACAAGCAGAGCTTCCTTTCGGTGCGTCGCGCGTTTGCTGCCGGCGTTGCCGAGCACTCGTCCAAGCGCCTCGAGCTCGATCGGGTCGCCCAGCCGCGTGCCCGTGCCGTGCGCCTCAACGTATCGCACCTGCTGCGGATCAATGTTCTTGTATGCCGCGCGGAGCATCTGCTCTTGCGCCGCCGGATTCGGCGCTGTCATCCCGTTCGACTTGCCGTCCTGGTTGATCGAGGCGCCGATCACCTCCGCGTACAGCCGGATGACAGCGTCAGGCTCCACATCGTCGAGACGCCGTATGAGGACGGCGCCCACACCCTCGCCGCGCACGTACCCGTCTGCTTCATCAGCACCAAAGCGGCAACGCTGCGAGCTGCCGAGCATGCCCGCGGCGACGAACGTCTCCGACCACACGCTAAGGAGCTGCACGTTGACGCCCGCGACCAGCGCGGCGTTGCACTTGCCCTCGCGGAGGGCGGAGATGGCCAAGTCGACAGCGACGAGCGACGACGAGCACGCCGTGTCGAGTGAGATGCTCGGGCCAGTGAGGTTGAGAAGGTAGGATATCCGGTTTGCGGCAATGGAGAGCGACCACGCTGGACCAAGGTATGGCGAAGTGTCGATTTGCTCGTCTCGGATCGCCTGCTGTGCGAGCGCCGCGTACTCAACCTGCGAGATACCAACGAAGACGCCCACGGATCGATCAGAGAGCTCGTTCGGAGGCATGCCAGCGTCGAGGAAGGCCTCATAGGCCGCATGGAGCAGCAGCCGTTGCTGCGGGTCCATCAGCGTGGCCTCGCGATCGCCAACCCCGAAGAGCCCGTTGTCGAAGCTCATCAGCACCTCCTGCGACAGATAGCCGGACTCCCTCCCGTTGTGTGGGCGGCCGGCTGGCGGTGCAATCACCGCATCCTTGCTCGCCAACAGATTGGACCAGAGTGCTTCGGGCGAGTTTGCGTCGCCAGGCAAGCGGCACGCCATCCCGGCGATGACAAGCCGGTCTGAAGCTCGCATCGCGTAGTTTGCATTCGCGTCGCCGGTGACGCCGTCTGCGGCAGGCTCGCCCAGGTCAAGCTTCTCGAGGAGTGTGCCGCACAGAGCGCGTAGCGAGACGCTCTCATAGATCAGCGTCGGCGAGAGGTCCAAGCCGGTCGCGTCGCTCAGTTGTGTCACGAGGCTGATCACGTGGATGGATGTGAGCCCGATCTCGTGAAGTGGCTGCGAGAAGTCAACCGAGGCCGCCTCCTCGTCCCCCAGCTCGAGGAGCACTAGTGCCGCACCCCACACCTCTTAGGTACCTGATTAGTATATTTTCAAAAAAAGAGGCCGTACTTATTTTAGTATACATATACTAAAATCGGTACCTCACGGTACCCGTTAATGCTATGTATTGAGTGCGGGTACATGGCTGAATTACGAGCTTTTGCGCAAAAAAAGCTTAACCCTAGTAGCCGAGCAAGATCGATGAAAATAGGCTGTGCGGCGAGCTGCCGTGTAGCCCGTGTAGTAAATACTGGGGCCAACTGAGCTAAAGTGAGGTAGTTTTATGTGCACTTTGAAGGCCCTGCTACTTGGTTTGTGCATACGAGGCGAAAAAAAGCGCCCCGAGCACTTTCCGTGACCCTAGTTCAGCTGTTTTGCCCCAAAACATGGTTTTTAACGTGAGACAGGTCCGTGGTGAGATCGCTGTATTAGACCGGGTTACGAGCCCCGGCGAGTATGCGTATCATCTAAAGATATAAGGGCCTCGCGTCGTCCGCCGTTTATCCGCGTGACGTAGCGCGAATCCGCCAGGATTCTCGCCAGCTCTGCTGAGGGGTGGTGCTGGGCTTCGTGCGGCGCTCGCCCTGCAGGCCGTAGGCCTCTGTACCACATCATCTACTTCACACCACGAGGCGTCGAAGCTAACGAGATATTGGATGAGATATCGGATGAGATATCGGCAGACTTGCCCGTCGGCGCAATCGAGTGTCTGCCCTTCATCGCTCGCACGCCTCGCCATCACCTCTCAGTCGCCATGGCCCTCACCGTGAGCACGGATGCCATCATTGAGAAGCTGTCTGGCACGGCTGGAGCCGATTCGCAGGTGCACAGTATAACAAGCGGGCAGATCATCGTGTGCGTGGGTGGCAGAGTCGTCGATGGTGGGACGAAGCAGTTCACCGTCAAAGTGATGCACCCAGACGCGACGGCAGCGCAAGCCGCGGAGCTGGCACGGCCGATCATCAAAGGGCTGCTGGGGCAGGCGGTGACAGCGGGGGAGACCGCCGCCGCCCAGGAAGCCGAGAGGGAGCACTTGCAAGACACCAAGGTGTTCTCCGCTAATCAGCTGGGCAGGATCTTTACCGGTTGGGCCGGATGGCTGGATACCCTCCGGGCCAACAAGATGCTCGAGGCCGACGAAGAGAGCCGTGACGAGGTCGCCTCGGCGCAGGTCAAGATATCAGGTGCCAACGAGGCACTGAAAATGTTCCGTAAGCTGCCACAGTGCAAGGAGGCAGAGGAAGGCCACGTTGTCACGGCTGAAGTTCTCAAGGTGGCAGACGAGATGCCGGCGTTCGGTGCAGCATCGATCGCCACCAGCACGAGAATCCAAATGTTCTTTGGTGCGCTCAACGCCGTCATCCTCAGCGAACGGCACAGCGCGATGCTGGAAGAGATTGCCGGGAAGGATAGCGTTTCGGCTGTCTGCTATAGCCGCAGCCACTCCCAGCTACTCGGTGTGAACAGAGTTCGTACCCGAGCAGCTGGGCAACTCGAGATCCCTCGAGAGTTCACGCGGAGTCGGCTGGGGCTATACCAGACAGGCGTTTCGGTGGATGAGATGCAAACCTTCCTCGCTCGGCTCGGCGAGTCATTCAAATCATCCGTGCTCCCGTCGAAAGAAGAGGGCACAGAGGATTCGGCAACGGCGGTCGCCGCAGCGGCGCAGCGGATTGCGGCCTCCCGCGAGCAGACCGGCGTCTTAAACGGCCTTGCTCGCATAGCCGAGTTGGACGCATCGCCGACGGGCCTACCTAGCCTCGCTCACACGAGAGCTCGACTCGAGAGGTGCGCGCCTCCCAGACAGACCTAGTCCGGCTAGTGAGCGCGGACGCTGCGAGTATCTCAAACCTGGCTAGCACCATGGCAGCCGACTCTCAATTCATTGCGAACGTGAGAGCGATCCGTGGCGCATGCCTTCGCCGGGTCGAGCTCCTGATCAAAGGCGGCGATCTGACCACCCGGTGGTCAGACAGAGAGAGGAAGCACGCCGACCGCACTCGATGCGGGCGCTTCAGCAAGGTGGATCTGGCCGCCTTCGTCGACGAGGACGGTGCAGCATCTGGCTTCTCGTCAGCTGCGCCGCTCGATCACTTCGCGAAAATGGACGATGCCGTATCTCAGCTGCAGACCGCTGATGTTTGATTCCACCCGAGAGGATGCTCCGGGTGCGTCTTGCGGGTATCTCCCTGTCCCTCCGCCTGTCATGTGCATGTCTGCTGCTGACTGTCGTGTGTGATGTCGGTCGTCTGGGGGGGGGGCAAAGTGCATCGCCTCCCTCCCCTCACTCAACGCATGTCAGGCTTAGCCGCCGCACCCGCGGCGGCGAGGCTGAGGGTCTCTCTTCGGTCGTACCGCAAGAAGGACGCATTACTCAATACAACCTCTCCCTCTCTACCTCCTCTACGCGAGCAGCCGCGTCGAAGTACGGAGGGGCCTTTGCAGAGCGGAGGAACTCGTGATACCGAGGATCTCGAGCTTCAGCTGGCGAACCATCATGCCGCTCTCGGCACAGAAGCGGCGCGAGCGCCGCGCCGCGCAGCGCGCTGCCGAGGCTCAGGACGCGGCTCGCGGGCAGCGCAACCGCCCGGCGCCGAGCCGGTGCTAGGCCGCCTCTGCTGCGCCTGCTTCCTTGCGCGCCGCTGGACGTCGGCCGAGAAGACCGCTTCCCTCTGGGGACCCGACTCCGCGAAGATCGCGCGCGCGTCGTGAGTGGCGGCGCGCGCGCGATCTCCGTTCCCGGGCACGCCGGTCGCAGTGACATGGGCTCCCAGGCTCAAAAGCGCTCCCGTCAACAGCGAGCGAGCGCCGCCGCTGCTCCTCCTCCCGCCGCCGCTCACCGAGACTCGGTGCCGCCGTTCTCGCCACCGCCGCCGCCGCCGCCGCCGCCGCCGCCGCCGCCGCCGCCGCCGCCGCCGCCTCGCGCCTCGCCTCCGTCACCGCCGCCCTCCATCTCGCAGCGGCGCGTCCCTCTGATGGCGCGGGCGCCTCGCTCACCGGCGCCTCGCCGCCCCCCCCCCCCCTTCTCGCGCCGCTCCGCTCGTGGCCGCCGCCTCCCCTGTCAATCCCGCCGCCTCCCCTGTCATCCCGCCGCCCGCACCACCGCCGCCACCGCCTCGCGCCTCGCCGCCGCCGCCACCGACCGCCCTCCCCTGCGCCGCTGAGCGCGGTGCAGGGGGTGTCGGTGAGCCCCCGCTGCGCAGCCTCACCGCAGTGCACTGCGCTCTCCGCGCCCCTGACGATTAGTGAGGAGGTGGTGTTGCACAGCATGGAGCTCGGCGAGCGTTTAGCGAGCCCCTCAGCTGCTAGGCCGCCTCCGCTGCGCCTGCTTCCTTGCGCGCCGCTGGCTCGTTGTGCGAGTATATGGGACACGATGTCTCAAATATGAGGGGTTTTGACTCCTACCGGCTCCTGACGCTATCCCTGGCAGCTCTAATGACCAGGATCAGTAGTGCTATGATAGAGGCTGCCCATACTAGCGCAGGAGCTGCCACACTCGCCCGGACCGTCCCCCTCTGGGGCCGGTTCCGCAGCCCGCGAGAGCCGACAGCGGGGCCGTGCCGCGGGTGCCTACTGCCGAGTGCCACAAACACTGCGCCGTCCCGCCACCACCTACAGGCTGTCTTGTGTGATGGTTGGGATGTCCAAACGCCACCATCTTGGCTCTTGCGACCTCAAACCCGCGAGCTGTATGGGTGGTCCTGACGTCGACAGACGCCCGAGGACCACGGTGAAGCTGAGCCGGAACGCGTCGACAAGTCTCGTCTGAGCCCGTGGCGGTCGCCGGCTGAGTCGCCGTGCACGGCCCGGTACCTCAGGCGTCACCTCCGCAGCCTCAGGTCTCAAACTCCATCACCTCCGACGGGACGCCTTCGGTGGCACGTTCGGCGGCGACTTTGTGGCAGCCCCACAGCGAGCGCGGCGTCGAGCCTAATCGGTCTCACACTCTCCAACACGACGGACGCTTGCGTCCTAGCCTCCAACAACGCCTCCCCGGCGCAGAGGGGCCCCCGGAGGGATGCTCAACCGCCCCACGCCACGCCGCTTGCGGCGGTCCTATTCCCAGCTCCGTTGAGCGCTCGCGTTATCTTCTTTCCACGGGTGCCTGGAATAAATAAATAAATACAACGGACATCCCAAGCTAGGGCTGGGTCGAGGACAGACACGTCCCCACCTTTGCAGGATTTTGCAAAAGCGAGGGGGGAGGGCGCATCGCCGCGCGGAGAGGGCTGGGCACAGGGCACAGGGGATCTCTCTCGCATAGGATATGCACTCGGCGGCACGAGGGCAAGGCTGGGCGTCCTATGTTTGTGCTCCCCCCCGGACCCCTCGCTCTCGGGCACTAACCATCTGACCACTCATCGACGGGGCTTGGCGAGCGGCCGCGCTGCGGGGCAGGGCTGGTGAGAATGGGCTCTGGCCACTCGCCCGTGCGGTTGTAACCCCGCATCTGTCGGACAGAGGCCTCGACCGCCCCTCGCGGCAAGCTCTCGAGCATCTCGAGCAGCTCGCCCGCCGCCATCGCCGCCTCGAACTGCTCCCTCATGCCGAGCGCGCCGCATACCCTGCGGACCGCCTCCTGCTGCACCTCGTCCGGCGTATCAGTTTCATAGCCGGACGAGTCAGCGGAGGCGGCCCGCTTGGCGGGCGGAGAGTCGGGCGACGGCGAGCGCGACTGGCGCGAGGGCCCGCTGCCGCGCGCGGACAGCGCGTTCTTGTCAACGAGACGGGGTCCAGCATCGGCACGGCCCCTGGCACCGCGGCCCTTGCCGCGCTGCTGCTGCCCACGCTTCCTGCCCGGGTTAGGGACAGTGAAGGAGCAGCCGCGCACTCCGCCGCCGCTGGGCGGCGGCGGCACGCGCGCGGCGGCGGCCGGGCCCGCAGGCGCGGCGGGCTGGCCACCCGCGGTGGCACCCTGCGGCTGCGATGCGGCTGCGGCGGCGTACGTCTTGGGCGCCGGCTCCGCGGCTGGCGGCGCGGCGGCAGGGGCGGGCGGCGCCGCAGGGCTCGCGCTCGCAGGCGGCTCCGTGGCCTGCGCCTGCCGCTCATGGCGCACGGCGCGCTCGAGCTGCGAGTGCGGGTGCAGCTGTACGATGACGTCGCCGCTCTGCGTCGCGGTGAAGGAGACCGAGTACGGCGCTTCGCCGTCGTTCTTCTTCTCCGCGTAGACGAGCGCGTAGTCGCACACCTGTCGTTGGTGGTCAGTGAAGATGGTCTCTGTGCAGCGCTCGGCGGAGCCGACGCGAGAGAAGTGCCGCCTGAACGCCATGCGTTCAGGCGCTGTTTGAATCGCCTTACGGGTGCCTGGACAGTCGCTCGCCGCTCACAGCCCGATTTCTCCTTCCTACGGGTGCCGCCTGACAGTCGCTCCGCGTCGCTGCTGCGCCGCCTGCCGCTCCCGCCGCCATGCGGATCCTCATCAAGGGTGGCGTGTGGAAGAACACCGAGGATGAGATCCTCAAGGCGGCCGTCATGAAGTACGGCAAGAATCAGTGGTCGCGCATCTCGTCGCTTCTGGTGCGCAAGTCGGCCAAGCAGTGCAAGGCGCGGTGGCACGAGTGGCTCGACCCGTCCATCAAGAAGACGGAGTGGTCGCGCGAGGAGGAGGAGAAGCTGCTGCACCTGGCCAAGCTCATGCCCACCCAGTGGCGCACCATCGCGCCCATCGTCGGCCGCACCGCCGCGCAGTGCCTCGAGCACTACGAGCGACTCCTCGACCAGGCGCCGCGGCGGCCGTCCCTACCCCTGCCGTGCCCGCGCCCCTGCGCCCCGCTGCGCGCGAGCCTCGCCCGCGCCTCGCCCGCGCCTCCCCCCTCCACCCCCCCTCCCAAAGCCGCGGCCCCGCACCCGCCGCCGCCACCCTGCCCACGCACCACCTCTCCCCCCACCCCCCGCTTGCCGGCGATGCTCGACACAGGCGACGCGGCGGGGCGCGTCAGCGGACGGAGACGCGTCGGCGGCGGACGACCCTCGCCGGCTGCGGCCGGGCGAGATCGACCCGAACCCCGAGTCGAAGCCCGCGCGACCTGACCCGGTGGACATGGACGACGACGAAAAGGAGATGCTCTCCGAGGCGCGCGGGAGATGGAGCCGAGATTCGGAGCCGAGGGTGGAGCCGGGAGGGTGGCGGCAAGACGCAGATGCTCCCTCGCCGCGCGACGGCGCCTCGAGATGACGAGGAGCCGCGGGTGGGGGAGGACGAGGGCGGGGGAGGGCGGGGGAGGGTCTCTGCAGGATGGTCTCTGCAGGATGCCCGGCTCCACGCTCGCCCCTCTCTCCCCCCTCCCCCCCCTCGCAACACGCAAGCACCCCTCCCCCCCCTTCCCTCCCCTCCCTGCCCGCCAGGCGCGCGCGCGCCTCGCAAACACGCGCGGCAAAAAGGCAAAGCGCAAGGCGCGCGAGAAGCAGCTCGAGG